TAATTATGTCCCTTCAAAAAGAACATAATTGATCTGTGAAATTTTATATGCTAAATAGTTTAGGGACCCATCCTTAACTAAGATAATCTTTTCAATGATAGTTAGAATAAACGATAGTTTTTTTTCTTTTCTCTTTGTCAAAAAATTCTCTTTTTTATTCCTTTTTCCCCTTGCATAGTTTTTACAAAAGGAAGTGACACAATTTGGATTTATAATTGTGGCTGTGAAGGTAATCTGCAAATTTTAATCTATCGGAAGTTCGGAATCTTAATCCTATCCTTTAGGGGAACAATATATCACCCCCATAAATTCTATCTAGAGACTTTGGCTGTCGATAGGTGAGTTGGATTGAGAAAATTTGTACTTTGTATGTATTCTCATATGTGTAATAGTTTTTTGTAATTTAATAAATAAATGATACCAACCTGATTGCAGGATTAAAAAAATTAAAAATAATAAACTAAACAAATATGATATAAATACTTTAATTAAAGAATAAAGAAATAAAAAGTACTATAATCTCAAAAGAAATTAAAATGAATTTTGAAATAGTATTGCAAATAGAATTAATTAGAAGCATAATATTAATTTTATTATAAAGAAAAAATTTTTAATCTTGTTTGAAATTATAATATACAATATCAGCAAAAAAAATTAACAATTGATTTTTTTTTTTACTTCATTTTTATTTAAAAGCATTGATATTTTAATATTTATTATAGCTTATAATATGAATAATAATATATTATAATTTCAATAATCAATTATATTATTCTTTTTTTGCAATACTAATTTAACATACTTTTTCATTGACTTTGCTAAATGAAGATATAAATTCACATCTATTTTTTTCTATTATAATATAATTAATGATATAAAAACTTGTTTTGTGATTTGTTTTTTTTTGCTTAACATAATATTAACTTTTTTTTTTAATTAAAGCTCACAGATTTTTAATTAGATTAAGATTAGAAGAGTAAAATGACCAATCGAAAAGATAGAGGCAATGTTTCTGAAGAAGATTAACTATAAGCTTGGCCTGATACTTTAGGTTATTATCCTGTTGAAATACTCACCTTTTGCTGAAAATCTGATGAGCTTATGCAAACAGATTATTAGTAAGAATTTTATAATAAAGCTTACTATTTATATTTTTGAAGAAAATATAAAAGTTAATCATTTCTCTTGCACAAAATGCTTATCAAATATGAACTTTAAATAGGTATTTCACTAATACCTACTCTGACCTTAATTTCCCCTCTTTGTAACGAACCTTGGATATATTACAAAACATCTGAAATATCGATTCATCTGAAAAAATAACTTTATTTCAGTATTTTTTTTAGTGGACTATTGCCTAGGCAATATAATGTTTATTGATGACTTTGATAAGAAAAGGAATTGGATGAAGGATATAAACTTTGTATTCAAATTTTTGAAGGCTCTCTTTAACTGTTTTGAATGCAATATTAAGGCTGGGGTAGATTTTTTTTAAAACTTTTGTTAACTTATTACTTGTTACATATTTCTTTGATTTTGCAATTAATCAAAAAAAATGTTTTTGCAAAGGAGTAAGAAAGAATGAACAACCAGGGTAACTTCTCTACTTTAGATTATAGGTTTCTTTAAGTTGTTTAATCCATCTGTATAAAGTTTTTAATGGATACCCAGTTGCTTTTTTAAGAGCTATAACTTTATGAATTTCATCCTTTCAAAGTGTCTTAACTAACTGACATCTTTCTGCAATTGTAATTATTTGCAACATCTATCATAGCTAAGCTATTGTTTATTTTAAAATTATGATGTACAGAAGTGGATTATACCATATTTAGCAATGGTGCAACAGAAAAAATGTCAGTTTTTTCTGCCGGTACTATAAGTTCATACTTTAGCCACTGTATAATTGTCTATAGCAAAGTATTATTTTTTATTTAGCTTATTTTGATATTAATAAAATTTAATAATTTGATTAGGCAATGTATAATTATATGACTGAAAATTGAAGAGTACAAAGAAATTGAATGGATATGCAATATTTTAATAAATTTAATATAAATTTCTAAAAGAAATCTGAAGATGAATTGATAAAATTCATATTATTAATATCTCAAACTGTAAACAAAATAAAGATATAAAAAATATAACATTAGTACTATCTATTACAGAAGTTAAGCATGTATTGGTTATATTTAATTAGGCAATATATGATTATATAACAGGAAATTGAAAAGTATAATGAAATTGAATAGGTGTATAATATTTTAATAAATTTAATATAAATTTCTGAAAGAAATTTGAAGATGGATTTGATAAAATCCATACTATTAATATCTCAAACTGTAAATAAAACAAAGATGTAGGAAATATAACATTAGTATTATCTATTGCAAAAATTAAGCATGTATTGGTTACATTTGATTAGGCAATATAAGATTATATAACAGGAAATTGAAGAGTACAAAGAAATTGTATGGGTATGCATTATTTTAATAAATTCTATACACATTTCTGGAAAAGATCTGAAAATGAATTTGATAAAATCCATACTATTAATATCTCAAACTGTAAATGAAATAAAGATGTAAAAAATATAACATTAGTACTATCTATTGCAAAAGTTAAGCATGTATTGGATACAAAATCTTTTGTTAGACAAATAAACTAATCTCCATATATTATTAGTAAAAGGAGTCAAAGACATTCATCCTATCTTACTTCAACCTGTGATAATAATAACACTAATATAAACAATCTTGATATGAAAAATTCCGAGCAAAATATTAGCACTCACCCACCCCTGATTGAAAAATTATCTTCTCAACCACTATCTCATGGGGTCACAAACAAAACATGAAATAATAATAATCCTTCAGAATAAATCAGAGCAATGTCATTTCTAGTCAAAAAATAGTTAACTCCTGTAATAATTTAACAAATGATTGCTAAATATATTCTCATCTCAAATGATAGTGATGTTAGCATGCACGATATAGGAGATAATCAAACAATTTCTATTATGAAATCGATTAACGAGAAAGGATAAAGAATCTCAATCATAAGTTATATCGTGAAATGAATATATATTTAATGATCAGGACAAAAAAATATTAATAAATTTATATTATTTCTGGATTGATAAATATGTATTCTGAATCTAATATGCACAAATCAAATGATCTGATTTTGTATAAGTTTTACCAGTATTTAAATCATAATAATATCCTTCATTATTATTGTCAGAAAATTCACAGAACCTATAATTATCCTTATCATCATTTCCATTGTCACCAGAGAAATCTCCACTATTAGATGTGATAACATCCTTACTTTGTGGGTCACCGTCCCCATCACAAGAATTTTCATCATCAAAAAGATCCAAGTTAAAATATAAAGAACTATCAAATGTACTTACCTGTGTTTCGACCTCACCTATATCATCAATATCAGAGGAATTAGAGATATTAGTTATATTATTAGGTGATGCTTTAGTATCTGAGACACTTATCTTGATATTGGATAAAGATTTGAGATCCTCAGTTGAGATCACATGATTATGATCGTTTTCCTGGGAAATAGGTTTTGAAGTTACTTGATTTATAATATATCATTTGCACTGCAGGTAACATATTTAACTTTATTAATTCCAACTCTGTTTTCTCCAAATAGCTTATGAATTTTTCTGGCCCTAAGAGTCTTATCTTAATTCACAAGGCAACTGATGTAACATCTGGTAGATATTCCTTTTCAAGTATAGGAATCTTATCGTTCTTCCTTCTAAGCTCAGCAATCTCAGCTAAGAGTTTAGCATTTAATTCTCTTAATGAATCAATGGATTGAGTGTTTGACATTGTTTTATACAAGATGGAAATAATTCAAAAGTTCGAATTCGTACACAAATAAAAAAATCATGCGCACCTCGTTGCATCATGCAACCAGATCACATAGCCCGTGATACATAACGTGTATATTAATATTCTATCCTATCTTATTATTATGGTTTTATCCGCTTCAATAATTCCTGGGATTCAATCTGGCTATCAAACACCCACTTGATTTGCCCTTGATAGGCTCCACCAAGTCATCATAACCTTGTTGATTGGTCCGCTATTATTATTCTCAGAGTTAGGCACGACAATCCACAGCAGTTGATACAAGTCCTATACATTACATCCACAGTGGCATCGAAAATATTGCATCTTTATGTAATTCAGATTAAAATGTCACATGTGGAATCGTGTCTCAGGTCCTAAACCAGTACTTAAACATTTGACTTTTCTAAAAAAATCGTCTGTCTTTTTGGAAAATCTGTATATAAAATGCACCATGTCTGACATCACTGAAATAATGATATTTTGTCTCGTTCTAGGTGACGCTATTAAAAATTCTTTCCCGGTCGACATCGATCGTAAAATGACCATAGGGCATCTCAAGATACTAATAAAGAATGCGAAATCTCCGGAACTTAACAAATTTGCACCAGATAAACTGAATATATGGAAGGTTGATATTCCTCAAAACAGAGAAAATCTAGGAATGGAAATACCCGTCGGAGTTAATATTGTAAAAGAATATGGAGGTATAGAATTGTATTCGTTCGAAACTATCGAAGAATATTTTCGTCCGATACCCACTAGTACTAGCATCCGAATTATCGTACAACCGCCTGTCACCACTGGTAAGTAAGTGTCTTACCTCTCGAACAAGAAATTTGCGGTTATCTCATCTTTCATTCGATCAGGAAAAAGAAAGCCGGATGATTCGGGTGAAGAAAATGAAAGCAAAAGTAGTAAAAAAATGTAACCAAAAGATGTATATATACTATATATTTCATTTTGATGCTAAACATTAATCGTCTTAACATACATAATTATTTGTTAGATGCTTCCCGTAAATCATGGTGGACATAAAAAAACTTGATGGGAATCCTGCTGTTTACTCAAACCCTCAAAACTTCCTTTCATTACCATTCCCATATCCTGGATCAAAAAAACCAATAGATAGGTTTTCTATTAATGATGGTTTTTTTACCTTCATGGGAATAAAGAAATTCAGCAATGTTCTAGACAAAATCAAAGAATTTAGAGTGAATACTGGTTATATTAAAATGTTTATTTATGGCACAGTTGGGTATGGAAAGTCACATATTCTCACAGCAATAGCTTGCTTTCTTCTCCGGAGCGAAAGGCATGTTGTATATCTTTCCGATTGCCGCGAACTGGCTGTAAACCCAGTAAACTACATCAAATCAGCCTTATTTCTCACCTATGTGGATGATGATGCGAAAATAAGCGAAATTAATGCCTGTGAAAAATTTGATCAAATCGTAAAATTTTGTGAATCATTAGATGAAACGCTATATTTTATCGTAGACCAAATGAATGCTCTGGACGATTATGATAATACTGGAATTAACTTAGAGAAAAAGATTCAAATTAAAGAAAACCTCAATAAAATGTGTGCAGACCATTTTTATATCAAGAGTTCTTCAACAAAAAACCAAACAGTATTGCACCTTAGGCAAAAACAGACCAATGAAAAAAAATTTGAACTTTATGGAGGGTTCGATAAGGTAAGACTAAGATGCCCTACGTTGTGAATTTTCTGTGTATTAATGTAATATTTAATTTAGGAGGAGATGGAAGAGTGATGGAAGAAGTATAATTCCGTTTTACCAACAATGAATAATCAGCGGAAGGATCAAATTGAAGACATCACCGGCAATATTCCGCTCTTATTAAACGTTTTGCTGGAATCTGATTGTAAGAATTTTGAAGATGCATTAGGCTACTTAAATCAACAATTAACATCAAAGATACAAGAGCCGATGACAGGCTTTTTAGAGAAGATTTATAAACTAGACAATAAAAGATTGGATTTGTATGTATTTTTAGTTTGCTT